TCAAATGAGAGAGAAAGAGAGAGAGAAGGAAAGGGAAGAAGAGAGGATGAGAGGAGAGAAGAGAAGAGAAGAGAAGAGAAGAGAAGAGAAGAGAAGAGAAGAGAAGAGAAGAGAAGAGAAGAGAAGAGAAGAGAAGAGAAGAGAAGAGAAGAGAAAGAAGAGAAGAGGTCTTTTGAACTTAGCCATTCTATTCATGGCTCAGAGATGCTACTCCCAATTATGATAGCTGCATATGTTTTCTATAACCCAGCCAGGGTATCTTTTGACCCAGGATGCTTTGCTTTCATGGTGTCTGCTGACCTGAATAAGACATGATTCCATTACCATGACAGAGGAAGTTGTCTGTGAACTAAACCAAAGTAGGATTTGTTCCTAGATTTGGAAGAAGAGCCCTTCAACATAAAATCATTACTGCACTGGTGTACTTGAAAAAAAAAACTCAGATGAACTAAATGAAGCTCAAGAGAAAATAGCCTAAAATGCTTTTATCTACTGGGGAGAAGACCTTTGGGAAGACATTTTAGCATTTTAATGAAAATATTGGTTGAATTTCTTGCCTATAAGTACACTTCCTGGTTTAACTAAAATTAAACTTAACTAAAGAAACCTTTGTTGAGAGTCTAGTATATGCAGAGCACAGTGTTAGGAGATGGAGAGTTAAAGATGGATGAGATGAGATTCCTGCCTGCAGGAGCTCAGACTGTTCCTACATCCTGTTGGAGATATGTTTGTATTCTCACTTTACCACCATCCTTTAAGATACAGTTCTATCTGAAATAAATCACAGATTGTTATAAGTTAGTCCTTACAAAATGTGCTAAGCCTCCATGAAGGCCATCAGGCTATGAGGGGAAATGAGGCCTTTCTCTTATTTTCATCAGTGGTTCCTTCCAGATCTCTTGGTGAATCTTTGTGAGAGCAGTGCCTTGGCAGGGTGAGCTCAATAAGAAAATAGAGAGAGCAAAAGAACATGATAGCCAAGAGGAGAGAGAGAGAGAGAGAGAGAGAGAGAGAGAGAGAGAGAGAGAGAGGCTATATCACACTATATTCTGAGTGCCAAGACCCAGAAGAACTGCCCCTTTTATTGAATTATAGATCTCAAGCTGAAGGGATCTTAAAGGTCATTTTATAGACAAGTTAACTGAGGTACAAAATAGTAAGTGATTTCCCTAAGCTGACACAGTATGTAGCAAAGCTCAGATTGAAAAGTAGGTCCCCTACACCCAAATTTAGTGCTTTTTACTAATATACAAGAGTTGACCCGTGGACCCCCAAAATAAAAATTTAAAAGTATCCAATGACAACCATGGAAGGATAAAAGCAAGTAATTAACAATAGACTCTAGAGTAATTCAGGGCATCAAAGGGGCACGTGGTCTGCATCAGCATGTCTTCTGTTTCATTTAATCTACCAGCCCTCTGTCTAAAAGCAGCTTTTTGCTTTGAAGAACCTGTGTGAGTCAGACAAACAGACCTAAGGCAGCTGAATTGTCAGTCAAACGGATCTTGCTGGCTATGCCCACCCCCACTAGCCCTTTGGGTCTACTCTGCATGTTACCTAGGGAGGAGGTACAGCTATCAATTCACACACACACACACACACACACAGCCTCAACAACACCAAAAAATAAAAGACTAATGTAAGCCAAGATAAGGGAGAAGTACAGAGGGATGAGGGAAGGGAGAGAACACACTAAGCATTAACCTACTAGCTTTATATTTCTTACAAATGCCTTTGATAAGATATCATCCACTAAGTGGAGACTTCAGCCTCTTCTGATTTCTGGGAGAATGCTTTGGCATGCTGACTGAGTCTTCATTGGAGATCTGTGTTTCTGTGCAACCCGAATTTGCTGAAATGTCAGTGAGGAGGTCACCATATGTCCAGAGACTCATGTCACCATTTGAAAAGCATGTCCTTACCCTTCTGCACCAACACATAATGAGTTAGATAGTCATCTATGGGGAATTCTTTATTCTGGCTCTCCAAAGCTTGCTGCAAGAAGTTTACTTATCCTCCTGGACTTTATAATGATGAACTCTATCTACCTTCTGGCTCTACACTCACCCTGTCTAAAGGAAAATGTGTGTGTGTGTGTGTGTGTGTGTGTGTGTGTGTGTGTGTTGAAAGAGGGTGTGGGAGGAAAAGCAAGGAGAAAGGAAGGAAGAGACAGAATTAATCGAGTGGCAGACACACTCAGAGCAGGTGGTTGCTCTTTGTTATTGTTGGTTTCAACACATCAGAGGCAAGACTGTGTGGAAGCAGCAGATGATGAAAGGAGGGTTCAGTGTCGAGTCACCACAATAGTGGGAGCAGTAGGAAGGACAATACCAAATCCATGATGGTTAATTTCCACCAGAGGAATGAGGGGGTTGGAGGACTTTGCCAGCTCTCAGCTCTCTCCCTTGTTGCCATAGTATTGCTGGCTGAGAAGCAAAAGCAGAGGCTGGCATGTTGCCTACCTCTTCCTAAAGGGAGAATCTCTCAATTCAGCATTCTCCTAATCTTAGACTAGGCAGGGGGATCACTATCACCCAGGCAGACAGCCTCACAGAGGCAGCTGGACTTTCAGCAGCTCCCAGGCATTGGTTGAAGTTTGGGCATGAAAGAAGCAACCTTCCCTAACCCCTAACTCCAGTTCATTTCCTTAGCCACTATCAGAGAGAAAACAGAAGGAAGAGTTGAGCTATTATTACTTTTCAAAAAAAATGGAAAGTTCAAAATAACCTTGCTAGCATCTTTATACACATGTAGATCCTCTTTATTCCTAAACACATGCTTTCCACCAGAAGAGAACAAAACTCTTCTTTGTACATAAGTAGTTATTTCTTTATCTGGCAAGTTAAAGATAGGCAGTTTAGAAAAGCCATACTGATACACACAACCGGGAAAAGTTAAGAAGACAGACAGTCCAATTCACCACTGGGGGTATGGGGAAAAGATCTTGATCCCCATTTAAAAGTAAGTTAATCTAGACCCTGTGCAATTGGTTCTAGGTATCAAAGTATAAAAGTATTGAGGTGAAGTTGTATTAGTGCATTCAATAAGTGTGGTGTACAAAGAATGTATTTTATTTTAAAGTGTCAGGTCTTTTGGCAGCTGCTACATGATTCTGTTACAATAGCTAAGATTTTTTAATATGAAGATATGAAATGATCAGCGAATGTAGCAATCTAATGATTCAGCAAATAATGTGCAGCAAGAGCAGAGCAGCAGTAATTAAACCTTCTGAGTTTGCACACTGAAAGTCTTCTTCACCAATCATACCCTAAACACACACACATACACACACACACACACACACACACACACACACACACACACACACACTTTAACTTATTTTCCAAATAATTTCAACAACTCAAACAACTAACTGGAAAACACAACACTTTGAATGCTTCCCCTATCTGCTCTAACGAGTAAAGACTACAGAACACCATCAGTGCACACACGCACACACATCCCTGCAGTGGCATAGGACCTGTTCAGTCCTGCCCAAAGAAACAAACATTCCTAAGCATGGTTGTTGCTAAGATGTACCTTATACATCACCTTTATATAAAAAAGGAGGAAAAAAATGTACTACACTTAGAAATTCAGCACACAAGATCAATAATAACTCTTTTTAAATAATTGCCAATCTTTTCAGCTTCATAAAAAAGATGCTTTTGTATCTTATAAAATGCATTTTCCCCACTCTATGTCTAATGGGAAAGGTACAGACTTTTGCCAATCTATTATCCATGTTTTTTTTTAAAGATTCTAAGATATATGCAGCCACTTTCTAGCATAAATTTATCTGAATAACTTTCTGTGCTTTTTTTCTTCATAACAGTCAGATTACATTTGTTTCTATACTTATTCTGATATAAATCATCTAGAATTATCAAAAGGAGATTAATTGTGGGAACACAATGCCTTGGTTTCTTCCATATTAAACTCAGATCTTCCTGATGAACTTTCCGGGACCAGTTCTACTCCCTCCTACAACAACAGCCTAGGTCACTCAAGCGTTGTTGCACGTTGATCACACTTCATTTCATCTAAGCAAACATCTCTCTCCAAGCATGTCACCTAAAAAGTTTCACATTCAGATTTTAAGGTGAATTTGACGGATGCCCTAATTTCACGGGGAAACTTAAAGATTCCCTGTAATCTTTATTCACTCCTCTATTGTTTTTGAGACTCCTATGTGAAGTTAGGGTGCAGGCATTGTAATGTTATTTCTCCTCAATTAAATACTATTGGAGTGGGGTGGGCTGGAGGTGCGGGAGGAAAAAAAAAGAAAAAGTAACACACACACACAAACACACACACATATACCCCTCAGTTCACTTAACAGGGGCGGTTCACACTGATTCATTACAAAAGCTCAACTTTCTACGTTTAAGTATTTCTATTTAAATCATGCTCCTCCCTGTTAGCAAGCCTGGGACTAAAAATCTCAATAAAGGAATACAAAGGTTTTATTTCCAAGAAAGAAAGGGGGGAAAAACCCTGCAGCCTAATGTTTTTTCCGATGTGTTATGTGATTCTGCCCCAAGTTCTTAGCGAGAAACGTAGAGAAACAGACAGTGGGAACTTACCAACTAGTTGCCAAATTTTAACTAATCAGCCACTAACAGAACTCGGCTTTCCACCGCTACGGAAATAAGCGCCCAGTACAAGGAATCAACATGAGCGCTGATCGCTCTGCAGACAGAGACCTAAGGGGCTCAGGCAGCCAAAGCTGCCAGTCACTTTCCCCGCAATTATCATCATTTTTGAGGTATATCAGCCCCAACACATATATATATACAGTCCCTTAATCCTGCTGCCTGGGGTTAAGGCGTTAGGGTCCGGGGTGAGGAGGAAGACCAGGTTCAGTGTACGTCTCCAGAGACTGGGGGACATCTACCAGACTGAGGAGAGCCCCCTTTCAGAGATAAACATGCGTATTTACATTGGGCTACTACAGAGGAGCTTGATAACGTACAACAAACAGGGATAGGAAATCTTACCAAATCTTAATACATGTGTGGTTCCTTGAGAATATCCAATCCACAGTAAGCAGAGAAGGAGTCTAATGGTGCACCTGAAGACTGGGTTACTTAGAATCGGGGAAATAATCTTCATGGTGTTTCTATGCACACACGCGCTGCACCTACTTCCCCCTTTTAGCGTCAGGCTCCCCGGTAGGGTAAGAATGAGAATACGTAGACTGATGGCCCTCAGACACGATCACGGCATGGTCACAGAGAGAGGAGCGAGTCTACGCTGCCCAAACCCATTAGCAGTCCTTGCATGTTCTTCACTCACTGCGCCAAGGAGCAACCTTCAACTGCAAGGAATGGTGGGACATCCATGTTAGTCGGGGAGAATCCTTGAGAAATCCAAAACACACACACACACAATGTCCAGCCGGGTAAGCCTGAGGAAGCAAAGGAGGAGGAAAATCAATAGGTAATCCAGCCTGGGAAATCGCGGAGATATCGAGACATAGCAACAGTCACCGTACAAAAGGCTCTTGGCTAGGCTTCTATTCTACTGCACTGCTGCACAGCTTCTGACGTGAAGCCAAGATTAAGTGAGAAAAATTGAGATAGCTGCTCTCCTCTTAAGGCTGCCTGCCAGACAGCTTTCTCAATATCTCTTATGCAACTGATCTGAGCACCCTTGTGTTGTTGGAAATAAGTCGTGTTTGTTTATGTGTGGAAAAATCCTTTTGTTTTTCAACAAAAGACCTCCCCTAAAGATTGATTAGCATCTGTGCAGTTCTATTAAGATCAATTCATGAATTTTAATAGGTGACTAGCTAGGTCGAAGCCACTATTACTTAGAATCTGTTTTAAAAAACAAACCAACCAACCAACAAACAAAAAGGAATGTATTCCAAGACTGTCAGAGGGTATACTGAAAGTCTAACTCCCGCTTTGGCTTATTGAGGGTCTTGGAATTCACATTCACTTTCTATCACTTATTTTTATGGAATAGAAGGAAATGAGATGTCTGTATGTAGTCTTTAAAAACTTGTGAAGGACGTTTCTTGATTACTATTCCTGTCTAGAGGATTTCCCTTTATACATTTGGTTATTTTTTTTTAATACTAAAGATAAGGTAAGTGGAATCTATTTGGTCACTAGTTTCTCAACTTGCCTGGGAGCACAATACATAAATAAGAACAGAGTAAATGATGCTTGGATTTAGGTGATAAACTCCAACTGCTTCTACAATTTTATGTTCATGTTTCTTCTTACTGTGGCATTATGATGGTTATTTGTAAGTTTCTTCTTACTGTGACATTATGATGGTTATTTGTAGGAGGCAAAAGATCTCAGCTTAGCTTGAGCAACCTTAAGAATCCTTGCCATCCCTTAAGTGTTCTTTATGTTTCTAGTAGTTTTCTGGTGATATGTTTTGTATCCCACTAAATATTTGTATTTTCTAGCTGGATCTCCAGTCAATGTGATCCAACTTTCTCAAATAGTAATTCAGTACTTAAAAAAAAGTAAAATCAATAAGGACTTTATTTTTTTAAATGCTCTTAGAATACAAAAATGCACTTATTAGCTAAAAATAAGCTGTATGCCATCTTAAAAGCACATAATTTTTAAAATAGACAATGCTGTCATTTCAGATCATAAAAGAAGTTATCTTTGAAGTTAATAAAGATTTCACTGTTCATCTTTAAAAAAAATAATTGAGCACCCCAAAAGGCAAATCTTCAAAACTGTAAACTGGTATTTCCTGGGAAACCACTCAATTCCTAACCCACTTCTTTTCTCTTAAGAAAGGTATTACTTTCAAAAGTGAAAGTTCAATGTAGAAATGAATTATAAGAATATATACTGTAATGCTAATATCTACTAAAAGAAAAACTGTCACATTATTTTAAAGACTGACATGACTGCCATTTAATTCTTAAATAGGTTCCATGTTTTAAACAGAGAGTATAACAACAAATATTATCTATATTTTCCTTGTTATGCATCCCTAAATTGTAAAAAAAAAATGACAAAAACTCTCAGCAAGTTCTTCTTATTCTATTATAGTGATTTTCTCTACACAGCTTAATTCAAGTAATTGTAAAATGCTCAATTTAAAAAAAAAGAAACCTACATTTTTCGATGGTATTAAATGCCATTGATTTTTTTTTAAAGATGGAGGCAAAAAACTGCAGTGTCAAAAATAAGTATCATGAATGGCTAGTTTTGCAATGGAGCAGGCAATTCAATCAAATAATTTGACTATTTGAGCACTTTAAAAGGAACACCTAGTGCTAAAACTAAGGATATCTAGCGACTCCTTCAGACCATATTTAGAACAGCTCTTGAAAAACATGAATAGTCCAAGATGCTCTTTCTTCTATTTGCTTCTTCATTTATTCCATTCTATTCAATAAATTTATATTTAGTTTTATGAGGACTTAGCTCTGAAGTAATTTTTAATATCTTTAATTTCCTCTAATGCCCAACAATTGTAGAATAATTATCTGGTAATGATTTTTTTTTACTTGTGAACAATTATTTTTCAATGTACCTGCTATATTACATATTCTGAGAAAATAAAAGGTACTATCACTTGCTTTTTCTTACTTTCAGTTAACATATTGTAAATTTCGAATGAAGTTTGTCATTTTTCCTATTTAGTATATATCACCTAAACTGTTTTTGGTGTGTGTGAACATAACATGAACACAACTATTAGTCTTAAAGGGGAGGAGAGGATAGGGATTAAGTTTACAGGTTCACAAAGTTCTCATGCAGTAAATTAATCTCCAAATGCTGGAGGATAAATTACTTTTATCATAATTCCTTCAAAGAAGTTATTTTAAAAATGGTTATTTCACTTTTCTAATAAGCATTAAGCTGAATAGTTCAACACCACGGACAGCGACTGTACCTGTCTGGTTAAAGGTCTGTGATGAGACTTGTACGACCTTTTTCAGAACCATGGACAGTACCACAAGCTTCAAGTTCAACGCCATTATGTTGTATTCCACACTAAAGCACCATAATGTGTTATTCGAAACCTCAAAATGCAATCTCCACATGAAGAGGACCAAAGATTTATTAAAATGAAAATAAATGTTTGTCTTCACATTTTCATAGATCTGGTCTGTTCAATATTTTGTTTACTAGTTCGTGTGTCGTGATTTAGGAGGGTTGCTTTCAGTATCTAGAATCTTATTCCATGAGGCAACATTCATTTTTCCAGTGTACTGTGAAAATCACTCATATTAACTGTGAATTCATTCATTAGCACTAAGAATATCTATTTCTCAGTAAAGAAATGCTTGAAAGACCACCAACAGTTCAGAAGACTGAATAAAAGGTTGTCATTATCCAGTGGCTAAAGACATTTGTAAAGTATACAATTATCTATAGCCTCAAAATTCACCACATAAGGATAATAGGTCCTATTTTAGTTCTTTTTAATCAAACTTCACAGAAAAAAATTTTACCAAAAAATAATAAATTTCCTCCCAACAACCATCCCCTTCCCCGGATTTAGGAAACATCTTCAGTAAACAAATTTAGAGGGTTTTTTAAATAACTTTTTAAAAATAATACTTCTGATGTTTTATTAACATTGGTAGCTATGTGGTAAAATAATAATTCATTATATATTATTTGAGTAGAAAAAATTAACCCTTCCTTAGATTGTGTCAGTCTTGTGATTCAGTCCAAAGTTGAAAGAAAACTGACATTGTTGTTGAAGGCCATCTATAATTAACAGTAATAAAATTTATACATGTTATTCTGTGGTATTATTTGGCTATTTCTGGATTTCTACCATATGGCATCTTTTATCTTTAGTAGTTAAATCTCTGTGGACTCCAAGGTCAAAACAGAAATTGCATAACACACATACATTTGTTTTTGCATACACACACACACACACACACACACACACAGAGTGAGTGAGTGGAGTGGTTGAGTGTTAATGCAGGCCACTGGGTAGGGGGGATCACAATAGACTAGGGTAATAATTTTTTAGCTTTTGGAAGTAACAGAAAGGAAAAACACACATCATGTTTGTACAATTTTTTATTTCAACAACCAAAAAATCCTTGCTTGATTTTTTACATTTTCTTAAACAAATGACCTTTCAATACTAAACATTAAGAGCTCATTTTCATTTTCTATTCTCACAGTAAGGATGAATCTGAGTCTAGTCAGCTGCCACCTGCTGGGACATGCCCATGTGCATATTAATCCTCATATCACAACATTCCTTAGGCTATGCATTTAAATTTCCAGCATATAGCCATGTAACTGACTACCAGTGTCACATCCTAAAATAGCCTAAAATCATTTCCCAGTTCCTACAAAGGGGCTTCATATGGCTTATGATCCCTATATATTTATCTTATAGAATTTTTTGGTGAATTCCTCCTCATAGCTACACTTTGCTTTGCCATTAGAGCCTTGTTTTTGCAATGTGGCAGCAGGGGAACTCCATCTTACAATAATGCCTGACACACACCTATGTACTTGTATCTCATCTTGGCTGAAAACAGCAGCCTGTTCCACTGCTCTATGAGTGTCAGGGAATAAAATTGATGCTGATATTATTATAAGGTAAGGGAATATTGCTGCCCACATGCATTCAACTCCTACAAGCTATAACACTATAGGTTCATTTTTAACTCTTGTTAATTAGCAACATTGTTTTGTACTACATTTCTCTTGCATTGATAGTTAATGACATTTAAAGTAGTGATTAATTTTTAGATGCTGAAAAGAAGTGTGTCCTGAGACTGAATTGTAATAAATTGACCTGTTCAAAAACTTTTTAAAGTTTTTGAAGCAGGGTATTTTTCAACAGGCTTTAAATAGGAAAAAAAAGACTTTTTCTAGGCAGTATATATCTCTGTTATAGCTCTACTGAAAGTTGTCTTTTTTCAGTTAATTATCCCACAGATTTCTTAGGCTTCTAACAGGAAATAGATTGATGCCTTGCAGAAAGGGGCATCCTGAATTCATAAAGTAATGACGTTAGATCAATAGAGGCAAAAACAATATTTTGTAGAAACTGAAGGAAAGACCACTTAAGTTACAAAAGAGCGTACAGATGCTTGCAAGTGGAAGATATAAAATTAAGAGATCAGATAATTCTGAGGACCAGGATGCTTAAAGCATAGGGATAGAGGGGGAAAGAACTTCTTGGCATCAATAAAACAGCAGTAGTAAGTTGTTTATTACCACC